TATATATACATATTGATATATATATATTGATTTGGTTGATCGCAATAATTTTTTTATTTTAAAACAGATATTAATGAATGCAATACCACCAATCCCTGCCACAGCAATGCAACATGTACAAATACTATTGGATCTTATTCTTGTAAATGCAACGCTGGATACTCTGGAAGTGGCATAAGTTGTTTTGGTGAGACATGTTACATATCATGCTACTTCTAATTAATTATAATTGCGACAGTATTAATTATTATATTTTTTAATTATTTGGTTTATTTTTATTTTACTTTGAATCCGAGCACTGTTTATATCATTACATCTTGGATGAACCGGCTAGTGCCAAGATTCTTTTAGCAGAACTTACCTTTAAAATAGAACTGCAATTTTATACATACCGGACGTAATTGTCCTAACTATCCTTTTTACTTTTTGCTGTCTAAAATTTTACATTTTTGAAGATGATGATTCGCTAAAGAAAATTAGATACTGTATGTCAGTCATAGACTAACAACATTATTGCTGATGTGTGAAATGTGTTTATTCACACTTCAGGTATAATGAGACAGTTACTAAAGCATTAATTTAAAATCTAACAGTTGAATTCATTCGTACTATGATTCTGTTTGCAGTAACAACATTTGATGGATAAGTTGGTTCATTTCAGATAATAACGAGTGTGATTTTGAAGGATCATGTCCTGGTAACAACAGTTTATGTGCTAACACAGAAGGAAGCTTTCAGTGCTATTGTCCTGAACATTATGAATCAGATGGTAGTGATGGCTGTAGAGGTAAGTTAAGTTGGTAGTTGATAAGAATAATCACATTACAAAATAATGTATTGCTGTGATTTGGTTGTTGGTATCTATTTTTCGAAAGTTGTAAAGCATTTTAATGACTTAAGAAAGTTAAAACTACTTATATTTGAAAAACTGATAAAATTTACAAGCAGATATTAAATTCTTATGAATTTTCTTCCTTAGATGTCAATGAATGCGATGACCCGGACCGATGTATAAATGGCAAATGTACAAACTTGCCTGGTTCCTTTGCATGTGCTTGCGATAGTGGTTATCGCCTTATTGGTGGCCGTTGTGATGATATTGACGAATGTACAGAAGCAGTGGATAACTGTCACATAAATGCAGATTGTGAAAACGTCGATGGGACGTTTAATTGCACTTGTCATGCTGGATACACTGGAAATGGTACCATGTGTACAGGTGAGATGGATGCAAATGAGTGAATGCAAATGAATAGGAATTGACCTTTCCTCTAAGCCCCGCCCCTTATTGTTGCTAAGGTCCCACAATACAGCAGTGTTAAAACACTGTTACAAGTGTTACAACATGTGTAGTTGTTAGACACGTGCATATTCCTGGCTCTGTTCTGATTGGTCGGTTGTTAAGTTTGATTGACACTCCGCAAAGCTCCATTTGAAACTAATGGGGATGAATGCATGCAATTGGCATACAGGACTTCAGGAGTGAATATTGTGATTGGAAGTAAAGAAGTGATAAATTGGAAATATTTTATAGTTCACAACTACTGTATATTGTATGTAATTGTTTAATATGATGAATTTGACACAAAGTGTTGATACTCCATCATCATCATAATCATCATCAGTACTGCAAAAATCGGCATCACCAGCACCATCAACAACATCAATTTCATAATTGAAAAAAAAAGGAATTCAACAACTATCACCACCATTTTCCACTACCACCATTAACCATCCACCACCACCATTACCATTATTACCATTACCAGCATTATTGGCTAATTCAACAGTGACAGGATCTACTTTGTCCTGCAATTTTATGTAGATGTATATCATCCATTTTAAGTTTATTGTACATATTTAGTTATTATATTTTTCATTGATATTTAGAATTAGGCCTAAATTGTATCGAAATCCAGTAATAATATGTGTTGATTATGCAAGCTCAATTTGATTTTAGACACTGATGAATGTAACAATGACAATGACTGCGATACCAACGCTAATTGTACCAATACAGAAGGTTCCTACATGTGTACCTGTCGAGAGGGCTATAATGACGTAGATGGTACCGCTAGAGTTGGCGAGTGCGTAGGTATGTATATTCTTATCACTAATCAATTATTAAACTTATTTGGTTTTGAGGTATAGTTACCAGTCTGGACATTTAGCTTTGTTAGGATGAGGGTATAGTAGGGACAGCGGTGGCACCAGAAATTTGCCGACAAGGTGTCCGACATTTTTGATGGAGGGATCCTGGCCAATGGGCCGACAAAGCCTCGGTCGGCGACTGGGAATAAAAGTTCCCTATTAGTGTTCACCGGGAGAGTTTTTTATGGCTTGGTATGATCCAAAAGGGTGCTTTTAAACCACAATATTATGGATTGGCAGTCCAAATAACGTTATTTGGATAGGCAAATTATTAAATTTTTGATCCGACGACCTAGTCGTACTTCGGATAACAGGGTCCAGGCTTGTCCGACGGAGCGGCAAGTGCCCCTACCCCCTGTTGGCTCCACCACTGGGTAGGGATGCAGGCATACATTTAGTGGAATTTAATGTTCCTGTGCCTAGATACATCATACTTGCTTGAGCTTAAAGCTTTTAATAGCACCATGTTATGTATGTTGTACAGGTCAGAATACATAACGATCGATTTGTTAATATGTTGATTGATTGAGTGTGATTATATGGGTTTATTTGTTATTCTAGATATTGAAGAGTGTAATTTAAATCTTGATAACTGTCATTTGAACGCAAATTGTACAAATGCAGTAGGAGGCTTTTCATGCGAATGTCAGTCTGGATTTCAAGGAAATGGAGTCACATGTGAAGGTACAAAATACTTACGTTAAAAAAATTTTTTTTTTTTTTTTTTCAAAGTATAGTTGCTTAGATTAATTGTAAGGGTTAATCTTGTTATTTTGCCACATTGGTTTTAGTTGTTTCTTTAATTTTCAAACATATAACGTCTGGAATGAGAAGTCTTGAGAAATATATTTAAATTGCGTACTTCATATATTTTTTTCCTTTTGGGGTGTTTTGCCAAATTCTTTCGTGGTTAAATGTCTGTGAATTTAGGGAAAACTGTTTAACCTGTATGATTATATTGAAAGCATTTCATTTTGTCTAATTATTATTTCGTGAATACTTACCTGACTGAATCGATATATGTCAGTTTCCTTTTGGGAACATACCTCAAAAATAATGGAATGGTCCGACTTATGTTATGTAACTGGTCCTAATTTCCTTCTGATCACCATCACTACTGGTGATTTTTGAGGTTTTATATTCAGATTTAACAACAGATGGTTTGTATAAAACTTGGCCTTGGACACATTACTTACACAAAATATAAATATTGCTTACCTGGGTGACAATTACAATGCTGAATACACCCAGAGTGGCTGCATGTAACAATAGGAAGAAGAGTTTATGTGGACCTAAGTAATAGGCTCTGTTTTGATGTGTGAAGATAGAGTATATATTGCGGTACACCACGTAGATAGTTCTGAAAAAAACTGTTGGTTGAGAATGTCTCGACGTTTTGATTGAGTTGCTTCAATCGTCTTCAGGAGAATATTACTGCTTCGCCATGCAAACCTTCGAGCACGATAGATAGTACACAAGACTGGCATCCAAAAATATATGAATAATTATTTTATTTTAAATATAATAATCAGATTTGGATGAGTGTAAAGCAGACCCACCTGTATGTAATGGAGACAATGAACAATGTGATAATGTAATTGGCAGCTACAGCTGTATATGTGCTCCAAACTTCACCAGAATTGGAGGCACTTGTGAAGGTAAGTGACTTAAAAATCGGATGGTTTACTGTGTGGATGTGTAGCCACTTGGGATTTTGATTAGGCCAACATGCTTTTAAATATATATTTTCTTTAAAAATTGATACAGCTGAGTTTCAGACAATATAACTTGAAATATATTTATCAAATTTGTTTTTGTCTTTTGTTATTGTATTGATATGGATATGTGATTCCGAAAATAAAAATTGAATTGAATTGAAATTGAAATATATAGTTAATTATAATGTGCATATATCTTATATATCATAGACAATGATGATGTT